TCTCTGTTTTCTCATGGCTGACCTTGTGTCCAGTCTGAGAAGGGTAGGGAGGGGGCTTTGTCAGTCCTGAGCCCTATATGGTGGAAGAGGCTTCATAGAGGGACAAGAAGGAGAGTCCTCAAGATCAAGTTGCTTCTCGCTGTCTCCAACACATCCCTTTCTGCGACGTCTTTGTTTTCTTTTACTTGCTCCATGTGCTACAAAGAACATCTGAGGCTTCGAAACAAGCTCACATTTTTCCCCCAAATGAGAGGAGGAAGCCCCTTGGATGAGAGAGGAGCAGCTCAGATTGCTGCGTCCTCTGCTCCAGGCTTCTCCAGTGACTGGCCCTTCCTGACTCCACTGGGGTGGGTCTCACTGGGGTGGGAACAGCATGTGTGGAGAAAGACCCCTGATGGCCTGTCCTGAATTCGGCTAAATTGAGCTGCCGGTTGAAATGAAGCCTAGGCTACAGGGAAATAAGAAGAGAGGGAGCCTCGGGGCAGACTCTGGAGTTGTATCCTGGCTCTGAAGTCACCAGCCATATAAGGCTGTGGGCACAGCACGTGGGACACAGCACAGAGGACAATGAGTGATGCACACTTGGAGAAATAGGGAGATTCACCTCTGGGACTCTGCATGGCAGGAAAGGGGCAATGCCAGAAAGTGTATATTTATAGAGTATAAGACTACCAGGACACTTATATATATCTATTATAAGACTTATCATTAACTATTTCTAAGTGTGCAATTTAGTGTTGTGTAACCATCACACTATCCATTTCCAGAACTTTTTCCTTTTACCATATTAAACCTCTGTACCCAATAAACAGTAACTCTCACTCCTTTTCCCCCTAAGCCTTAGCATCCACCATTCTACTTTCTGTCTCTATGTAACTGGCTATTCTATCTTTTATAAATGGAATTATAAAATAATTATCCTTTTGTGTCTGGCTTATTTCAGTTAGCATAATGTCTTGAAGGTTGATCCATTTTGCACGATGTATTGGAATTTTATTCCTTGTTAAGGTTGAATAACATTTTGATGTATAGATATACCTCATTTGCCTACCCACTTATCTTTCAATGGACTTTCCGTTGTTTCCATTTTTTTGCTATTGTGAGTAATGCTTCTCTGAACATGAATGTGCAAACATTTGTTCAAATTTCTTTTAATTCTATAGGGAGTGTGTCTAGAAGTGGAATTGCTGGATGAAATGGTAATTTATTGTTTACATTTTTTGAGAAACAGCCACACCACTTTTTACAGTGGCTGTAACTTTCCCATTCCCATCAGCAATGCACTAGAGCTCCAATTTTTCCATCTATTTGAAAACACTTGTTGTTTTATGTTGCTGTTATTATTGTTGTTTATCAAAGCCATCCTAAAGTGTGTGAGATGGTGTCACATTGTGGTTTTGATTTGCATATCTCTAAGTATTCGTGACGCTGAGGAACTTTGCGTGGACTTATGGGATATTTGTATATCTTCCCTGGTGAAAACTATTTTAATCCTTTGTTCATTTTTTAACTGGGTTTTTGGATGTTTGCTGTTGTTGACTTCTGGTTTTTCTTGTATTCTAGAAATTAATTAGGTATCACACATATAATTTGCAAATATTTTTCTCATTTCATGGGTTCCTTTTTTACTTTCTTGATAATGTTCTTAGATATATAAAAGGTTTTGATTTTTATGAAGTCCAATTTATCCATTTTATTTGTTGCCTATTCTTTTGTTGTTACAACCAAGGAATCATTGTGAAATCCAATATCAT